ATATGCTTCTGGACAACTTAGAGAAAAAAAACAATAGAGAGAATCTGAAGCATCCGAATAATTACTTCACTGTTTTGCATTGTACCAATTGTCAGTGAGAGGAATGAGGTTTCAAAACACAATGAAGAAAGGAAGTCCTTCTAGGTTCATGTACAACCAGTATGGAATATGACAGAGTTGAAAGTAATATAGTAAAGGTCTATGCCTGTTTCTAAAATGAGCTGAAATCATATACAGGCAGAAGGACTATATAATATGGAGACCACTTTATTAGGACTTGTTTTAATTACACTTTATATACCTCCTTGATTTTTTGGGATATAGAGTTGCATAAAAGTATTTTGAATTAAACGATAAATAAATAAATCATATTCAAGTTGTTGTGCATTTACTCATTTGAGTCTAAGTAATTTCCTTTTGGTTAAGACAACGGAGCCAAACAATATGTAATGCAATGTAATTCAGTTTTCTTTATATACTATTATGCTGTTGCAAACATTGTGTTCTCTTGTGCATGATTTTCTCATAAAGAATCTATTACTGCCACTAAAATGTATATTTTGGAACAAGAATTTTTGTTCCACTCCCTTTTCGAAGAAATTTATTTGCAAAGCCATTTTTAACATCTGTCGGGAAATATATGACCACACTAATAATGTCTTAACTGTGCGGGCATCTTTTTATTGCCAGTGCTATTAACATTATTATCCCTTCTGGCAAAAAGCAATAATAACAAAGGAAAATTAAGGGGATTTTTCTGAATGCTCTTGGTGCTTACTGTATTATTTTTTCTTTTCTTTTTTTTTTAAAAGAGCAATGCAAAATAAGACCAAAACTACAGACACCAATCAAACTGTCAAAGTATACTGCTAATCCTACAAGTGATCTCTCCATTTAAATACAGTTATTCATATGCATTTGTAGGAATAAAATGCCCAACCTGAACTGCTTTGATGCATTCCCTATAAACTAAATACTTAAGAATTTAAAAGTACAAAGAAGTCATCCTACTTTTGAAATGATAGCACTTATCTACTGCACTTTCATATTTACATTCCTCACAGATGCTTCCAAAAACTGGGCTGCTAGACTCCATAGTCATTGCTTGATTGCTGTAAACTAAATAAAATATGCTGGCATATTACAGGATCTAATGTACCTCAATGTATTCTTCCAAACAATGAATGTGATATAATCAAATGAGCAGTGTTGGTCACTCCATTTCTCTAATTTTTGTAGCTAAGAATTAGGTTTAACTATATTTCTCAACACTAATGATTCCTGCATTAATTTCTCTACTAAGATTAAATTATCCACATTACGATTACTTTGCCACTTCTGTCAAAGTCCTACCAACATCAGAGTCACTCCTTCCAGTTTTACACAATCTGTGACTGAGTTGCCACCTGCAAGAGAATAATGAAGTTTTAAGGAAAATAATTATGAAAATAAAGCCAAAGTGAGTTAAAATATTCATAAAATGTACCACCCCTAGAAATCTGCTCAATATGATCAAATTCCCATTAGAGTCTTCTATTCCAGATAACATAGACGACCACTTTGGTCTAGTGCACTGATGGCGAACCTATGGCATGCATGCCAGAGGCGGCACTCAGAGCTCTCTCTGTGGGCACGCGCGCCATTGCCCCAGCCCCGCTTCCCCCCACAGCCCCCTCACCAGCAGCTCCCCCTAGAGGAGAATCTCCCCCAGGCACGGCCCGCGCAGAGCAGCGCAGCCAAGGGCATGGCAACTGGGCAGCAGGGACAAAACTCCACCCTTGTGTCCCATCGCGTGCAGATGATGCAGCGGGGTGCGGCTGGAGGGCGTGGCTGCCATGGCATTGGAAGGCCGCCTGGGCAATCTGTTGCAGCAGGCCGTGGAGGCAGTGAATGGCCCTGCAAGTGGGCGGGGCAAGAGCAGAGCGTGGGCAGGCTGGGGGGCGGGGCGGTTTTTGGGCACTCGGTCTCTAAAAGGTTCACTATCACTGGTCTAGTGGTTAAGCCACCAAGTTAGAAACTAAGTGAGTTCTAGTCTCACCTTAGGCATAAAAGCCAGCTGAGTGACTTTGGGCCAGTCACTCTCTCTCAACAGAGCTCATTTCATAGGGTTGTTGTGATGGGAAAATAAAAGGAAGGAGCATTAGGCTTGTTTGCCACCTTGAATTATTTACACAAATAAAAAAGGTGGGAGAAAATAATCTCTATATTTAATCTAATCGTTAATACTCTTTTAACATCTGTCATGAGTACCTGGTGATCCAGAACCACAAATGTGAGTGTAATTACCTAAGTTTACAGCAAAAAAAATCACTCAAAATATAGTGGGCCCTAATAATAATTTGATCATTTAATTGTTTTAATAGCATTCCTAGGGATAATTTATTTTTCCCAGTCCCCATTCTGTTCACAATTGTGGTTTATTCTTATAATAATCAAACTGAGTCAAGATAATTTGATTTAGACAAATGGAATTTTATTGAGATTTTAAGGTACAGATTTTAATGACATTTACTCAATGTCTGCCAGTGTTTAAAACCTAACATGTAATTATTTCAATAATTTCTTTTGTTTTACTCTGGCAAAAGTATTACCTGCTGTTTCTTTGACATAAAACTTCAAAGAACTTTCTAGGGAAGTGTCTTTCAAACTTGACAACCTAATGCTGACCTTGGAGTTGAAGTCCACACCTCTGAAAGTTGCCAAGTTGGAAAAACAACGTTCTACAGTCAGTTACAGAAAGATAGAAGATTCAGTGGCTGGAAACACCAAAGGTTTTTAAAATAATTTGTGACTGAGGGAACTTTCTGTTTGAATTACTATTGCCTTCTGCCAGACCTTAAAATTGAAAATGATCTTCTATGCCTTCCAGAAGCTAGCAATCAGAAACAAATGTAGCTGACAATCTCACCTTTCCCTTCAAATTATATTGTACATTCCTTTCCTCCCTCGTTGCCCTTTCAGTTTCACTTTTGACTTTTATTATTTTGTGAAAATCCAGCACTCTATCCAATGTCATTAATCCATTAATACAATGTCAGATGCACAAGGTATCCAGTGAATTATTTCCTGTAATTGCTCTTGCATAGCTTCAACTCTCCCCAAGACCATTGGAAAAGTGGTGTTTGAATGTCAGAAACAATAAATTAATACAATTCCAAGGTATCCAAGTGAAGAAAGTGCCATAAAGAAGGCTGTGTAGATGTGGATTATGCAAAAGTTTCTTTCCAGTAAAGGTCAGTGTAAAGCCTGCAAAGCTGGTGTACAGTGCAGTTGAGAATAAACTTCCCAGTTGCCGTCATAACCCCAAGATCCTGGGGTCATTAAATGGGAAATAGCAGAACTCCCACGTGGGAACATCAGCGTGCTACAGGAGGGATGGAGGTATTGCAGACGAGTGGGGGAGGCTGTGGGAAGGCTGCACTTCAAACCGTGTGCGAGTACAGACTAAGTGTTGGATGCCCAGCAAATCAATGTGCAAATCGATGAGAGAGCTTGGCAGGCCCAGCACAGGCCATGCATGAATCTAGGGAAGGTGAGGGAGAGTTTGGAAAGCCCAGTGGAGGCTGCACATGAGTTGGGGAGACCCTGAGCCAGCAGAGGTTGCACACCGATGGGAGGGTGCTACAGGTGGAAATGACTTATCAGAGCAACTTCTGACCTTTCCTGCTGGCTTTCCCATTGACTTTGTTGTGAGAAGCCAGCAGAGAAGGTCACAAATAGTGATCGGAGATGTCATACTTGTAAGCTAGGCATCAAAGGACCCAAATTACGATCATGTGACCCTGGGGGAGGTGCTACAATGGCCATAATTTTAGGGACTGGTGACACATTCATTTTTCCAGCATTTCCATAACTTTGAACAGTCAGTGAACAAATGGGCATAAGTCAAGGACTACCTGAAGTTTTCTCCAGAAACATGAGTGTTGATTCATATGAACTATTCTGTTTCGATAATCCATGCTAACTTTCCAAACTTCCTAGAATTTCCTCTGTTCCCAGACTCATATAGCAGAACATTTGGCTCCCTTGTTTATTCGGCAGTGAAATTTTTCCTCATCATTTCCAAGACCCAAATTATCTTAATGAAAAAATGAATAATTATGTGTTCTAGTTTCACCCAGGAATACAGTTAACAAGCTTATTATATATATATAATTGCTTTCCCTACAAAAATGTTTATTGGCACAAATCAAGGCATGTTTCATTATTAAACTGGTTAATATTTTAAAATTGTCAAACATGTCTTGGCTTTATGCCATTTCAGGGAACAAAGTTTATAGTTTTAAGTACTTCTACATGCACATAACTGCAACTGATTGCATTTTTGTAAATTCTTTTTTTTGTCAAACAGTACACATCTAGCATTTAGATTGGTTTTAAATTAATTTAACTATTGTTGGATAATTTTGTAACTATTCAAGTTACAAAAGTATTAACTTGTATTTTACATTCTTACTGTCAATGCTGCTAACATCGGATGTTCTTGCTTTGACAACAGATGGAAATGCAGCCATTTTCCTCTATTGCTTTTAGAGTTAGTTGATGCTGGGAGGGGGAATGTGGATGAGAGTCCAGCTAGTCATAACAATAATAACTCAGTCGTGGGAACCCAAGTTCATTGGGCCCTGAATTGATAGAGGTTTGGTGGGCTGGAGAGCTGGGGAGAAAGTCCCCGCTTCAAGCTAATTGGGGAATGTGATTTATGACTGTTTATTGGAGGAGGGAATTGTGCTTTGTTACTTTGTGTCCAGGGGAGGGGAATTTAGTTTTTGGTTTCAACTATGTAGTGCCAATACTTTGTTTCTCGAATAAAAGATTCTTTAAGATAAACAATGTCTCGAAGTTCTTTTGAAGAGTTTCATCTGTCAGAACCATGACACTTACTTGTCGTACTTTTAATTTCAGATGCCAGGCAAAATTGCAATACTGTAGCTAAATTAAACCAAAGCTATTGTTTTTTTCTAAATAAATAAAAAGAATGGCTCTTTTTTGTTTTCCAGCTTCAAAGAAGACTGGATTAAAGACATCACAGAAACACGCTGTTCTGGAGAATGCAACTTACAAAATAAATCAGCTAAAACCAGTAATGCACTTGATAAACAGTTGGTCCCTGGACATAATGTTGGTGTTCAGAGCATCCATACAGTACATGCGGTAGACGTCTATGGGCAGGATAAGAATATCCTTGGAAAACTGCATAATCACTTACCTGGATAAACAACTTCAACTCTTAAGTTGTCCTGGACCAAAGGAAATTGTGAATATACATGCTTACTGAATGTGCCTTAAAAACAATATCAAATAAATATCTGGACTGTCCCTTATGTATCTGTTGCAGTAAATGTCTGACTATAGCTATAATTTAGCAAATCCCCCAAAATATGGAAAACTAAATTCAGTTTCACAAAAAATCAAAATGAAATACATTTTTGATATTAGGGCCACGCATGCTTAAAAAATGATTAGGAAGAAATTACTTGGATTTGCAGAAATACAGCATCTCCTTTCATTAAAGAAGCACAACTTATTCCATAAAAGCTTCAGTAAAAGATGCTGCTGTTTTAATGAATGGGAGATGCTGTACTGTGTTCCAAAGCACTTTGGAATTATTTTTTTTGATGTGTGTGGGCACCTGCAATTTCATATCAAGTTACCATTTCTACACTTTGCTTAAAAAATTAAAAAGGGATCACATCAAGAAAGGAATTGTATATTGTTTTAATATGCGCTTCAATGTTGGCTCTTAACAGTTTGTATCTTTTCTGCATGTGAAAATCCTGAAGATAGTGAGGGTAAATTCAGAACTGCAAATTTAGTTTAACTTCTCTTTTTATAGATCTATCAAAAAGAAACAAAATGTATTTTTGCAAATTAAGAAGGAATCAAAATAAATAAATATATATTTTAATGAGAAATTTGTCAAGCAAACATGTTGCTTCAGTGTCCAGATTGCATTATAATCTTCCATTTCAGGTCCTGTTTATCATGTGTCCTGACTATCTGAGTTGTGATGGTGCAGAGGTTAGAATGCAGTATGACAGGTTAATTTTGCCAACTGCCAGTAGTTCAATCCTGACCGGCTTTACTCAGCCTTCCATCCTTCTGAGGTTGGTAAAATGAGGACCCAGATTGTTGAGGACAAAATGCTAACTCTGTAAACCACTTAGAGAGGGCTATAAAGCACTATAAAGTGGTATATGTCTAAGTGCTATTGCTATTGCTATTGTTAGGAGAACTTAGGTACTACTTTTCCATTTAGTGAATATCACAGCAGCTAATGTAAAAATAAAGTAAAACCCTTTTGAAAAGAAAGATCCAAGTTCAGTTGCATCAACCCAATTTCAAAGCACATAAGTGGGGGGGGGGGGGAAGCTGTCATATCAATCAAATGAAACTGAAATTACCCACTAGTATTTTTTTTAATAAAAAAAAAATCATAGGGTGCCTAAAAGGGATAAAATTAAGGTTATGTGAAAAAGAGAGAATGGCTTATTTTTAATAGCCACGCAATTATCCTTTGAAGCATAGTTTCTGGTGATTATCTTAATAGAGGGGCTGGTTTGTTCTTACAAGTATAAGAATGAAGATTGCCAGAGAATAACAGTCCTAAGATACCACCCTTTGATTCTTAAAAGTATTCAGTGATAATGAATTCTAACAAGTCTGGATGGTTCACCAATAAAAACAAAACAAAAAAATGCAATAATGGACAATACAAAGAATAAAGTATGGCAAGGATGACAAAAAAAGGATAGGAAAGGAAAAGAAAATCCACACAATCGGGTGGGGTGTGTGATGGCTTTCACTATTTATTTATTAGAATTTTTATCCCGTTTTTATTACTTTATAAGTAACTCAAGGTGGTAAAAACACCTAATACTCTTCCCTCCTCCTATTATCCCCACAACAGCAACCCTGTAAGGTGGTGTGGGCTGAGAGAGAGTGACTTGCCTAAAATCACCCAGCCAGCTTCACGCCTAATGTGGGACTAGAACTCACAGCCTTCTAGTTTCTAGGCCAGCCCCTTGACTGCTACATGAAAATGACTCTCACTAATCCTAATGCTAACTCATCCTCATGAAATCCCTGGACCAAAGGTTCTATTACAGGTGTTGTCCAATGTCTCAGTCATTTGGAACAGGGTTTTTAGACTGTTCCATGGAACCCTAAGATTCTTCAAGAGCTTGGATTAGTTTCATGAGGGTCTGAGGACAAAATGAAAAAAATCATTTAGAATCATAGCGTTATAGGGCTGGAAGAACTTTTGATGTCTTCTAGTCCATCCCCTACCCAAGGCTAGAATTCTTAATACCATCCAGGACAAATGATTGTCCAATATTTTTTTTTCTTGAAAACCTCCAGTGATGGAACACCCACAACTCTGAAGGAAAACTATTCCATTGATTGTTCTCACTGTCAGAAAATTCCTCCTTATTTCCAGGTTGAATCTCCCTCTGAGGAGCTTCCACCCATTGCTTCTTTTCCTGCCCTCAGGTGATATGGAAAATAAATCAATGCCCTCCTCCATGTGATAGCTCTTCAAGTATTAGGACACTGCTATCATGTCTCTCCTGAGCCTTCTCTTCATTAGGCTAAATGTACCCACTTCTCTTAACCATTTATCGTATGATTTAGCCTCCAGACACCCCCCCCATCATCTTTGTTGCTCTCCTCTGCACTCTTTCTACGGCTTCAGCAACTTCTTTGTAGCTTGTGTTAATTTACATATTATTTTGCAAATATTCTGGCAGCCTAATCATAAGAAAAAAAAGCATACCCTAAACGTAGTAATAGAAGGTACAAGCATAAAACAAGTATTGAAGTTCAAATATCTAGGAACCATTTTCACCAAAGACGTATAATGGACAAAGAGATTCACATATGATGCAATAAAGCAAGCCAAGAATTGGGACAGCTTGCTCCACTCCTACAACATAAGGCTGTACCAATCAGCACAAAGAAGCATCTCAAAAAAGGCATACTCCTCTCCACCCTATTTTACCAGGGCAAACATGGACATTTACAACACAACATAAACAAAAGTTAGCCACCACTCAGAAATGAAATGTTTGAGGAAAGCTTCTGGAGTGACCAGAAGAAATAAAATCAGAAGTGAGACCATAAGAGAAAGAACCATAAGAGAAGAAAATAGCAACAAAGATGATTATCGGACTGGAGGCTAAAACCTACAAGGAACGGTTGCTGGAATTGGGTATGTCTAGTTTAATGAAGAGAAGGATGAGGGGGGGACATGATAGCAGTATTCCCATATCTCAGGGGTTGCCACAAAGAAGAGGGAGTCAAGCTATTCTCCAAAGCACCTGAAGGCAGGACAAGAAGCAACAGATGGAAACTAACCAAAGAGAGAAGCAACCTAGAACTAAGGAGAAATTTCCTGACATTAGAACAATTAATCAATGGAACAACCTATCTCCAGAAATCGTGAATGCTCCAACATGGGAAGTTATTAAGAAGAGATTGGACAACCATTTGTCTGAAATGGTATAGGGTTTCCTCCCTGAGCAGGGGGTTGGACTAGAAGACCTCCAAGGTCCCTTCTAGCTCTGTTATTCTATTCTATTCCAATTGGCATAGAACCAATCTTAATCTACACACAAAAACAGCATATAAAATGGTTTGCTCACCTGGAGAGGACGTGGTGGGATTCTATATCGAACAAGGGATATACAAAAAGAGGAGAAGATTAAAGAACACAAGGCAGACCCAGAAGAAGATGGAGAGACAATATCAAAGACACACTACAACAGCATCAAATAACAATGGTTGAGGCTACCAGAAGAGCAAGAACCAGAACTTTATTTCTCCATTGATACCTGAAAGGGTAAAAGAGGAAGTAAAGAAGTCATAACTAGTAACTTTAAAAAAAAAAAAAGTCTTACTGAACTTAAACACATCAGTTTTCTGCACTGAAGAAAGTGTTGCAATTATTATAACCATCTTGCAAATGTTGTGCCTCCAAGTCAGGATCAATTCCTAATGACAGCCTGGACATGTCCCTGTAGTTTTCTTAGCAAGATTTCAAAAGCAGTTTGCTCTTACTTTCTTCCTAGGGCTGAGAGAAAGTGACTGGCTCAAAGTCTCCCAGATGGCTTACTACCTAAGGTGGGACTAGAGTTCATGGTCTCCTAGTTTTTAGCCTGGTATTTTAACGATTACAACAAACATATTATTGATAGGGGGTGATAAAAATGAAGAAAGATTACAAAACAATAGGATTTCCATGTTCTTGAGAAAATCTGAAACTCTTTGTTGCCTAGCTACTCCTCTATGCATCTTTTATACATAGCGGAGAAAACAGAAAGAGGCCAGCATGCAAAAACTAGCAAACTAGCAATAGAGTGAAGTGGCTGCTGGTGCTTCATAATGGGTTTTGTTGTTCAGCGTGTGGTCCTGAAAAGAGCAATAAACAGAAAAGAGCATTTTCAAATAGAGAATAGTCTCTTATCTCCATTAGAGACAGAAATGCACAAAAACAAGTAATACAGCATATTCCTCTTAAACCTTTTTTTTAAAAATCCAAAATAGAAATAATAACACCAACAATAAAACAGAAACAACACAAAAATACAAAGCCTTGGGAAAGCAGTAGATTTACAGAAGGAATATTATTAAAACACTAAGATTTATTTAAGCAATTTGGTCCTGCAAACTACAAGGTGCTTTATAAAGAAATTGCACTCAGAATTTGGTGATGATCATCTTCTTTTTCTCCTGTGAAAATCTTTTGTTTATGATAATGATATCCCTGGAGCTTTAATTATTGCCCATGTAAGAAATTATGTATCATTTTAAAAATGCATGAGAAAAATGAAAGAAGATGAGTAAACCTAGCAAACATAAACTAACACATTTAGAGAATTATAGTCTTCCCAATTTTGTCAGTTAATGAATTGGAGCAGGCTGTCTTGTAGATTTCTTTAATGTGCAAAATAGCATGCAGTCCTAGCCATATGGTTCTTCCAATTCTCCCTTTAATTATATAGCGGTAACAATAGTCAATAATGTTATGTGCATTTTCAATACTTCCACTGCCCCAGCTTCTACTCAACCTGTTTTAAAGGGCGTATCATAGGAGAGACAGGAAATGATTACAAGTAACAGTATTATTAGGAGCCTCCTGTTTTTATCAGGCTCACCTAGACAATTTTAGGACCAAAGCTAAACAACACATTACTTAGTAAAACTCTGAAGGGGATGCTTATTGCAAACTCAAGCTTCAGATGGTAAATACTTCCAGTGTCACTAATAAGAATTCATTGAACATAGCACAAAAACCTACAAGTCTTAAGACTGTCATGTAATCCCACACTCTGAAGATAGCAAGCTGAGTTCCCAAATGGCACTAACTCAGTATTTTCCTTCTAGGTTAGTCTTAGCAACTTAGTTCATTGAATAATTATGTGGTCCCTGTTCTGCCTCCACCTTCAGTCGAAACACTAGTATGTCTTCAGTGGTGTCTCCTGTCTTTTGATCTGGAAAATCAGGTGGGTTTAATAAATCCTCTTCCCAGATAAGTGAAAGTTGTTCTTACTTCCTGTACCTTACTTACCTCACCAATAGAATACCTGTCCAGAGATACTTTGGAGGAATCATCTTTAAATTCCAGGAATCTGAAGGGGGCCATTAATCAATCCTATGTTTGAGTCGGTTCATGGGTTGTTTACAGGTGCCCAATTTTCCAGAGTACTTCCAGGATTTAAGAACCATTTTGCTCATGAAGCAGTAGATTCCTCCACATCTAACTTTCATTTACTGGCTTTTAGCAGGTTTGTAGCATGATCTACCTACAAATTGTAAAATTTTTAGTTGGTTATTATTGTAGTTAAATTTCTATGCAAATGAAAACAAACAGAAGGATACTGTTTGTTTTGAAATGATACCTAGGTATATCAAAGTGGGCATGTTTTATTTTTTTTTGTAGTTTAATCTGTAATTTAGATTTTTCAAAACAAGTATTGCTACTCAATTATTAATTGCAACTTCCTTTTTAGTTGATTAAGTGATTTTAACTGGGTAATATAACTGGATAATTAAACATTGCAGATCTCCCTCTAATGGAAAGGATTGTACAGTAGAGAGATTACTTTCAAAAATATATATAGCAGTATCTCTAAAAACATTATACCAGAAAAGAAAAGGTTTGCTGTGGGTGTATCATTGTTTACAGGTGCCCAATTATGCCAGTAGTCCTTCAGTTGATCTCATTTTAACCAGTTACTCTATGATGATGGAACAAAAACAGTATACAGTCAGGCTGGATAACTTTCAATAAAAATAACTACACTTAGGATTTTTTAAACCTGCATAAGCCGTAATGAATGAAAACCAAGGGCAAAGAAATATCATTGGGTCACACTCACCTTCCCTTCCCAGAGCAACATATTTTTCTAAGGGCGAAAAAAGACCCCTGGTGGCCAAAGCTTTAATAAGGTGGCACTCGGGTTTTACTTTCGCTTTTCCATAAACTCGTCATTAAACTTCCGTTGCTGGCAGCAATTGAAGGAGACAATTTTTCACCTTGCCAGATTTAATGGGCTTCTTTCAGTCATAGCGGGAAAAATTGTCAAACCCATGGACAATGATCTTCAGAAAATGTAAGTGACAGATTCCACCCCCCACCCCCCCAGGGATGTCTTTTCCAAACAGGCTGCTGAGATAATTCCATTCTTGTTTTTTAAAGACATCGGAAGCTTTGCTCAAGAGATAAGAGAAAATGTGGACAGTTTTAGGGAAAAAGGGAGCGCTTGCTTAATCTCAACTTCCTTTTTGTGTGTGTGTGTGGATCTATTCTGCTTATTTTTTTTTGCTGGGATATTTCAGTCTTTCTATTTATAACTTTTAACCATGTAAAAATCTACGGTATGCAAGAATATTCAGGGGAAAAGCTGTATAGTTTTTCAGCACTAGCAACTGCAAATAATCTTATTTTGGACTGAATTTATTCTTCTGTGGGAAATATTTCTGATATTATTTCTGGACATGTCAATGTAGCAGTTTATTATAGAGACAATTACAGTACATATACTGAAACAATATGCTTGACTGTTAGGTTTTAGATCTGCTAATCAAAAATAGGTGTATCTTCAGAAGTGTGATTGTGATTGGTAAAGGATAGGGATATGGAGAGAAGGAACTCCAAGGATCTTTTTGAATGATGCCTCTTCCTCCCAGGAAGAACTTTAGAACTTAAAGCAGGAGTTCAAGGAGGGACCGTGGCTTGTTTCCACCAACACTGGCACTAATATTAGTGAAGGTTAAGTCTGAGGGCTTTTCAAGAACAGCATTCCATATATAGTCAACAATTGGAAACCTTTTTCTATAACCTTGGTTGTAAAATCCACTTCAGATATTAAGTCACAACTGTGATTTCAAATGACCAGCCTTATTATGTTTCTAGAACTTGGAATCATGTGATTAGTTGGCAAAGTAAGAGCTCTATGGTAGCTCTTAAATAATTTGCAGTACTTCCTAGTGACTTGGAAATTTGCCTGTAGCAACAGGTGTATTAACCACTCCCCAGATGAATCACACTTCTCCTTATTTTTGCTTGCACATCAGTGAGATTAAGAACTGAGCATGCATATTTCACAAGGTCCTAACACGTTGATTAGAGGGTTACTGAACCAGAAATCCATTTCTTCTCAGAACTTTGGCTGGATCATATCTTGCCTTGATTTTCAGTTGTACATTCCCGTGTCCACACTTCTAAATTTGGCACCGTTTACATCAGTGGTTCTCAACCTTTTTAATGCCGCAACCCCAACCGGTCATAAGTCGAGGACTAAACCGGTCGTAAGTCGAGGACTAAACTGGTCGTAAGTTGAGGACTAAACCAGTCGTAAGTCGAGGACTACCCAACCGGTCGTAAGTCGAGGGCTTTCCCTGCCCGGGAGCGCCACACATGCGTGGTTCCGCCCCCTGCGCCAGCCGAGGCGTAGCTGGCAAGCGGCAGAGACGGAGCAGGCCGACCACCAGCTGGCCCACCCCAAGGGAGGTAAGGCACCCGCTGGAAAAGGGAAAAAAAATGGCGGACAAAAAAAATGGCAGACAGCCTTGCTTGGCGACCCCCATGAAATGGTCGATCGACCCCAAATGGGGTCCCGACCCACAGGTTGAGAACCACTGGTTTACATGATCAGCTAATCTAAGCTGATCTAAAATCTGAAGAACAAATCGTTACCTAATTACACATTGATTGGAAATTCTGGAACTTGAAAATTTTTTCTAGAGCAGGGAACCCCAACTCCCTGCCGTGGCCCATACTGGGGTGTGGCCCCATTTGGAACCAGGTTGTGTGAGCGGTGGGCGAGTGCACATGCGTGCCCAGTTCTACTTGTGCAAGCAATGGGGTGCTCTCGCTCGCAGTTCCATTTGTGCAATATTCAAGTCAAACTGTACAAAAGAGTTGATTTTATTTTAAAAGATTTCCACTGAATTCTATGGGATTGCCCTAGCAAGAAGAAAACATTATAGTATTTCATGCCAGGAAATAATCTATACATATTCAATTTGGATGAATGGGCCAGATTTGCAAATACAAATCTGACCCACTGTAATCTTCATTGTATCTTCAGGCAAAGGTTTTTATGACGATTGGTGAAATGGAAAATTTGCAGGAAAAAGGAAAGAAATAAGCTAGGAGAAAGTTATTATAAATCAGTTTTAAATATCCCACAGAGAAGAACTTGTCCAAATTAAAATCCTTATATTTTTTCAATATTTACTTGAACAGCTTGAGGCCACAGTTGCCTTCAGAGGCCCTTTTCCAGTATCTCTCACAAAGGAAATGAGAGGGGTGACCACATCATCATAAGGGGTTTTTGGATTGCAGAATGCTCCCCCACACATATACAAACGAGGCATGCGGGACAGTTGCATTAATATATTTTTATTCAGAGACTTTCAATTTTCCCCAAGAATTCCTACTTTTGTATTCTGTTTGATTTTAAATGCTTGTTCAACACCAGAATATTGACTTAATGTTTTCTCTGCTATTAACTACAGTGTATAATTCTCTTCCCCACCCCCTCCTTATGGTTTAGTGTCAGAGCATGCACAGTCTTATTGCACTGAGATAACCCAGGAGCATATACAGTAAACAGTGGTTTATATTAAATGGTGGCTTATCTTACACTATCTACAATATCATACACCAGGAACAATATGCATACATGTGGTAATATCTAGCAAACTCCAACACACAGCAGTTACAGCAGGAAATGGACAAGAGACACTCCAGCAAAAGGCTTCCCTTTTATACTCAGGCTCTTAAAGGGACACAGACCCTGCTGAGTCATTCCTATCATTGCATCATCCACCTTATATTCCATTATATCAGGGGTGTCAAACTTGCAACATGTCGTGAACATATCGTGACTTTTTTTCCATTGCCGGCAATGGGGTGGGTGCGGTTTCGGCATGACACATCTAGCCCGCGGACCAGCAGTTTGACACCCCTGCATTACATCATTACATAAGCTGTTTAGCTATTACCCTGACATTTAGAAACATTTAATTAAACAATGTTGTAATCTGCCTAGAAATCTTCCATTTCAGGCATTATCATCACCCCATGTGAAGAGAAGAGCAGGAGTCCTTTTACTAAGAGTGCTCATCTCAATTGATTCCTTTACCATTGTTTGTTTCATTACATCCTGGTCAAAGTTATAGCAACAGTAATGGAATGTTAATGTTAATTCAGCATTAGCCCTGTTTAAACAGAATCAAACTTAGAACCTCTAATTGCAATTGTATGGATTCTTTTTTTCCCCTCCATCCATTCAGTTCTTGGACACTGCCTGGAGAAGACCCTGCAGTTTTTTTGGCAAGGCTTTTTAGAAGTGGTTTGCCATTGTTTTCTTCATAGGGCTTAGAGAAAGTGAGTCGCCTAAGATTATCATGCCCAAGATAAGACGAAACCTCACCGTCTCAGTTTCAGTAAGTAAGAATTCATGAAAGCCAGTTTAGTGCAGTGCATAAGTCATCAGGCTAGAAACTGAGATGGTGAGGTTTAGCCTTGCCTTGGTAGGCCAGTCACTTTCTCTCAGCCCTACAAAGGAAGCAATGGCAAACCATTTCTGAAAAGCCTTGCTAAAAAAAACTGCAGGGGCTTGTCCAGGCAGTGTTCAAGAATTGGATACAATTGAATGGATAGAGAGAGAAAAAGAATTCATACAATTGCAATTAGGGGTTCCAAGTTTGATCCAGTGGTTCTCAACCTTTTTAATGCCGTGACCCCAACCGGTCGTAAGTCGAGGACTAAACCGGTCGTAAGTCGAGGACTACCCAACCGGTCGTAAGTCGAGGACTTTCCCTGCCCAGGAGTGCCGCGCATGCGTGGTTCTGCCCCCTGCACCGGCCGAGGCGTAGCTGGCAAGCAGCAGAGACAGAGCAGGCTGACCACTAGCTGGCCCAGCCCAAGGGAGGTAAGGCACCCACCGGAAAAGGGGAAAAAAATGGCGGACAAAAAAAATGGCAGACAAAAAAATGGCGGACAGCCTTGCTTGGCGACCCCCGTGAAATGGTCGATCGACCCCAAATGGGGTCCCGACCCACAGGTTGAGAACCACTGGATCAGACTCAAGAACTCCCAACATCCACATGCAGAGCAACATCTGTATCATTCCAACCACTAGGCTAGCTCAGGGAGTGCCCAATCTAACCCTCAACTCGGATAGATGCTTCTCAGTCAGCAAAAGGCAGAATGGTCAGTTTATGGCAGCTTTTTATGTTCCATGAACATAGTAAGGGTCATTCTATGGGCACTTCTGCTTCGTTCTTGCAAATTCATTGTAACATTTGAACACAGGCCTAAGAGCTGCTGTTTTGTATTCAGACCCGCATGCCCTCTCTATGGCTTCTTACGGAGGTGGCACTTCTTACAATGTAGGCTATAAGACTGACTCCCAAATCCAGCCACAGTTGCCCGCTCATTACAGGGCAGAGAGTTATCTCAATTGTCTGCCATTTCCATGGATTCTGCTACATATTTTGTCTCCTTCAGAGGCTTAAACAAGCTCCGGCCGAAGAGCAGAATTCCCCTTCTCTCTCTGTCTCTCTCCAAAGATCCCAGCAGCGGCGCTTCAGAGCCAGGCGCGAGGCGAAATGCGAGAGTTTCGACTCGGCTTTTCCAACCCGCTGGCCAAGTCCTCGGAGGGCAGGCGGGGAGGAAAGAAACTTCTCGCCATCGCTCTTGCTGGCCGGGCGGCGGCTACCAAGCCCACTTCCTCCTCCGCAGCTTCTGGCAGGCTTGCAGGAAAACCGCGGGGACGAGAGGCCGGCCTGTAATCAGAGCCGCGCAGCTGGAGGGCCTCCTGCCTCTCGGAAAAAGCAAGACTCCCCCCGAGGAAGCGCGTGAGGGAGGGCTCGCCAGCCGCGGCACAAAGACGCTTCCTGCCTCGCCAGACCGGCTCGCCTTGCCCGCCATAATGCCAGGTCAGTAGCTCCTTTCCCAGCGAGTCGAGCGGAGGGAAGAGACGGCCGGCCGCGCCGACTCTCGGCTGCAGGGGGCGCAGAAGGGCAGGACCCGCTTGAGTCGGGGAAACCCACTTGCGAGGCCGCCGTCCCCCTTCCCGTTTCCAAAGCTCGGTCTCCC